AGGGAAAAGAGGATTAATATCCCCCTCTCCCCCAGCCGTGTCAGCCATCTCCTCTCTGAGGAGGAGTAATCGGTTTATAAACATTAGGCCAAGAAGTATGCTAAAAGTAAAGGTAATAATTAGATGAGCAACGGGGCGGGGGGGGATGGGGGAAGCAGTGTGAATAAAGCATGGTCGAGGATGGAAGTATAGACTATTTTACTACCCTATCATTCTCCGATCCAAACCCATATCCTGCCTGTCTTGTCTGTTTTTGATAAAGCTAAAAATCCTTTGCATTTTCTTAAGCAAAGGTAAAGAATTCCACGTTCAGAAAGCTAGCTTTTATGTTTTACTTTGAAATCTTTCCAGACTGAGATGATTCAATTCACTGACAAAGATTAACAGATGGCCCGGCTAGCTCTCGTTATCCTTCTCTCAGGATCAGCGGCTTTCTGAAGTACTCCAGGAGACACCATCTTGTGAGCAGCTTTCATAAGCATGAGATATGCATAAACAGCTTAGTGTGTCTATTCTCCTCATGTATCAGCTTTCAGAATACTTGCCCTCCCCTTCCTTCTTCCACACTCACCAGGCTATACCAATTGTTGTACAGTAAAAAAATACTTCTGAGGTGCTTAACCTGTCATTTCCCCAGTGCAGAAGAAAATACCGTAAGTGGGAGGCTCCATGCAAAAGTTACATGCAAAAATAGCAATTTAGACAAGTATCTCCTTTTTTATAGCTCTATACGTGTCTGTCTAGAGCTACTTACTAGTAGATAAATTTTGGAGCAGATGCATTCTTGTGTGGGTACACTTCAGTGCCAGCCCAACAAGGAGACTCGGTGAAGCAAGCACATACTTATCCTGATCATGTGCTTCAATTTCCTCATCTTGGAAATCGGAATGTAAAGAAGAAAACATGCACACTGGTTTCCTCCTGACCTATAGTTAGGATATAGGCAGAACAAGTATGTTTCAGATTTCACAATTTAGATGTAGCTATGGACATCCAAGGGTATCAACCTTTTATTTTGGCAACTCAGCACATCACAATATTGAAATCAAAGGTGACAAAAGAATTTTCAAAGGAACGGTTTTGTCCTGCCTTTTACAACCTGGTTTCATTCAGGTGGTGCAGGTCTGAGGGAGCTTCCTCATTTTGTTTAGGAAAAGTGAAACTAAGGAAAAATATAACATTTTTCCACACTTTTGAAGAATTTAAGAGTTAATCAGTAACCATGACTGTAGTAATTTAGAGGGGGGGGACGAACGAGCCAAAACAAGGCATATGAAGTTTTGGCTCCATCAGTACCCTTCTCTTACATCTTATTTACGTAACTCTGTAAAAAGAAAGTGCCTTGAAACTGCACATAGGCTGGATGGAAACATCTGGCTAGGAAAGATTTCAGCTTTTGGTTATAGTTCCAGAATGAACTACCTGTCTTCTCTAACCACCAGGATTAATCATCATCTACCAGATCTTCTGTATAAAATGCTCTTTACCTTGCCCATTTTTAATACATAGATAAGAAGGACAACACAGCTTTTCCCCTTCTTCAGAAGGGTGGTACACATTTAAAGATTTATTTCGTGTCATAAAGAACTGCCTAACACTTCTTTTCCTGACCATAGTCACGAGTGATTTCTGTCATGTCTGATTTGTAGGTCAAAGGTATAGCTCATCCTTATGGAAACAATCATTCTTGCTCACAGGAAACAAACAGAAGACATGCCTTCTAAATTGCTTGGCAGTAGTAAGCAAGCGATAACTTAATCTCGCTTATCTCAAAGTAGCAAGTTCTCTTTGATCAGTATTTCAGAAACCAACATTTATCACCTTCCGAGCTGTAGTTCTTACTCTCCCCTCATTCTTTTTTTCAGGAACTAGTTTTCCATTACTTAAACTTAATGGTTTCCACATATTGTGGGTGCCAGGACAGGTTTCAAAATTTGAATGCCACTTTAAGTCAGCCACGTTTGGGAGCAGGCTATGCTTAGAGGCCAAGACTGCAAGTTAATGGATCACAGTTTGCACAGTTGCTGGGATTTTCCAAATGAACTTCACTTCCTTTCCCAAGTACCACGTGATTATCAACAACGAAAGTCAAACTCCTCCTGATAGGTAACACTATGAAACTAAGCACTGTGCAACAGACATTCATAGCATATTTAATTAATTACTCCTCTTACATAAACTGAGTACAATCACTTTGAAGTTTATACAAACTTTATGGACTCAACAGATGAATTTAAAGTTGGAGGGAAGAGTTGAGGAAGAGTGCATGCTATGTTCAAATTGTGCTAGTCTGGCAGCCATCACCTTTATTCATCAGTGAAGACTAAACCCACATGCAAAGTTTAAAGAGGCTGTTACTGTTTTTCTTTCAAGTAACTTAATTTTGAGACATAAGTAGTATTAACCTTACCTACAATATCATCAGCTGATCTGTATGTCACAATTGCCAATTAGCCAATGCTACAATTTATATGATACATTGGCTTCGGTGACAGAGTGGGCTTAAGAAGTTCCTGCCCATCCCAAGCCAATTGTTTCCACACCCACAATCCATTTTGCCATCCCTTCAGCTACGCAAGTCCAGATATTTACAGTATAGCCACAGTCCAAATCACTGGAGTCAGTCAGCTTAAGAATATCTACACAAACCAAAAGGGGAGGGAGAGTATTTTTAACCAGAAATAATCACTCAGTAGTCCTGTTTACAGTACAACTCCACAACCAATTACTTAAATGTTAACTGAGAAGTCACCAATTTGTGGCACCAGAAGGAACTGCATATTTCCCTCAGGAAAGGAAACTGCAGTAAGCTGGCGGTACTGTCAAAGACAGCCTATCTTACAACTTGTCACCTTCATCTTCTAAGCAGTGATTCTAGCTTTACCGTTAGGTTGGTTTATAAGTAGGTCTAGCTTTTATAGGTTTATAGTGTATGCTACAATCACATTTTGCAAGATCATATACAAAACCCCAGGTGATCCCTGAATCTATGTTTACTGGGTTTGACTGGGATGGAGTTGCCATGAAAAAGATTAACTCCATCCCAGCCAGACCCTGTATACTATGCTATAACAAGGTCCCTTTCCCCTTCTTACTCTCTCTTGTGTTCTCTCCAGCTTCCCTGTGCACTGGTTCTGGCATATGCAGCTATATGGTGAATGGGAAACAAAATCCACCTGAAAACTGACCAGATTCCTTTTTTGTTGTTTTGCCTGGCAAGTTTTCAAAGCTGAGGGTTAGTTTCCAAAGATGAGCATTGAGTACCAGCATCAACACAGAAAAGCAACAGACTTTCAGTTGCAGTACAGTCTTAGACCAACTATGTTGGCTGCAAAATTGCACCCCTGGTGCAATCATGGACAGCTCTTATTTGTCATATGTTTCCATAATATTAATGTAATCTGTAGGCAACATCAAAAGAGAAGAATAATAAGCAATTTAATACAATCAGAATTCATAATTAGTTCAGTAAATAAAGAGCAAACCAATACCAATGTGCAATACAATAACCAGAGTGAGGAAGGCTACAGAACAAAGACAGCAGGCAGAGACATATTTTAACAGGCAATCATCCCACTACAGTTTACCTTTCAGTTGAGAATACTCTTTCCAGCAGACTCAGTCCATCAAAGCAAAAAATGGTTTGCAGATAAAGTTTAAGCCTCATCTTTATTTAATTGATTAAGTTCTAAGAAACTGGTTCAATTCTGTAGTTTTCAAATTGTAGACAGAAGACAAACACTTTAAAGGTCTTGGAATATCCTGCACTACTACTTTAAAGAATAAAATGTTATTTGTTTAGTCACAGTGACTCGGTTCCAGCTCCTTTTTATTTCTCAGCATACTAATAGACATGGGTGTTCAACAAGAGGTGCAAAGTTAAGAATAGTAAAGGGCTTGCAGATCAAAGTAGTGTTAAAAGACACTGGGTATCAGAAACAGTTAAGAGCCCATGCTCCCAAAAATATAAGTGATCTTTCTGTTATGAAAGCCAGGATGAAGAAGACATAGTGGAACCATTCTTGTAACAACTATTAGAAGCAACATATAAAGAAAGGTAAGAAATAACAATCTAAAAATGTGATTTAACATTTCTGAACATTTGTTGTAAGACCTTGAATACCAGATCTCACCTTTCTTGTATTAACTGCTACAAACCTTCAGCACTACAGTAAAGACAACTGGTATTCAGAGCACCTCAGTTCAACAATCAGATTTCTCCTGACCTTTGATAAGAGAGAACAAACTTGAATGTCTATGTAGACAGTAGGTATGAAAGAAACTGTTATAGTACCCTCACTGATTCACCATATGAGGAAAACATACAGGCATCCTACAACAGCAAACCACCACATTACAAATATGTGTCAATGCAAGGACAGCTGAATTAGTGACGATACCCACCTAAGAGTGCCATTTTCTCCTTTGTCTAGGCTGGTGAAGCGACTGTACAAGCGGGTGATTTGACTGTGGGAGACTGAAGAAAAAAAAAGAAAGAAGAAACACAAATTAGCATGTCAATGATTCCTCATAGGAACAGACCTCATTACACTGAACTACTCCATTGCCAGAAGCTGTGTTCAAAAAAAAAGATCACACAAAACAAGTTACATTGCAAGCACATAGCAATCAGCAGTTTAGGGACTTTGTGAGCAGTAAATTGCATCTTAATATTCAAGAATCGACAAATAAGCCCACTCTTCAAAAATCTGTCTAACTCTGCCTTCTACCCGTTTATATTTTTGGTCTCTAACATTCTTTGGTTATCTGATTCAGTAAATGGCAATTAAAAAGAAAAATTATTTGATTCACAGTTCCACTGTATTTCCCTTAATTCCTTTATGGCTAGAAATAATCAGGACACAGCCTTCATTGATGACCTCTACATCATTCATGACACTGCAGACCTCTGCTGTAGTATCTTTCCTTCTCTTTTGCTTATCTCTACTCCTGTTGTCTTTTTCCATCTAAAGATGGAAAATGTACTCGGTTCTCTGCATCTGGAAAGTGGTCAGAGAGACCTTACACCTGATCATTTTTCTTCCTTTACAGGACTGCCTGAATCTAAACAGTTTGTTCATTTTGGGGTTCACTAAAGTAATTTCCAGGCTTCTAGCACGTGGAGTTAAAAATTAAAAAGCCTAGTTCTAAAGAAGTTCGGGAGGGAGTTGGGACACAAAGCAAGCAGAAAGTTAGTGCAGACTTTTTAAATCTGCAATTTGAAAAAGAAATTCCAAAGCCAGTATTAAGTTTAGCATCATGGTGTCAACACTACCAAGATATTAGACCACCCAAGACACTACACATCTAGATCTTTAGAATAGTCCATGATGGGAGCAGGTTAAACCTATCTAGAATAGCAATTCCTTTAACACTGAAAGAATGCCCTACAGAAGATCTTGGCTTTTCAGAGCCTCTTCAGATGAAGTTAATAAATACATGAAATAAGACTGAATTGAATTTTAATGTTTACTCAGTAAAGGTGCAATTTTCTACAATGTTAAACTCGACTTAGTGTCATTTTCAGATTCAATTGTTTTAAAAGCCTTCACCAGCACATGTACAATGCTTTTGTTACTTGCTAAAGCTTATTTGGGAACAGGTTGCACAGCAGTTATCTGACCGGAGGCAAATTTTTTTTTTTTCAGGTTTGTTCTTTCTCCAGGCTATTTGTTTAGGTTCAACTGTTCCCTCCTTTAGCATGACCTGCCAGCAACTGGTTTTTTTCTTTTTCCTTGTCTCCTCGGCAACTTTCATTCTTTGCATAAGGTTGGGCAATTTGCTCAGTTCCACCTAAGGCAACTTCTCTACAGACTGGGCAGCTTGCTCAATTTCAAGTTAAGCAACACACACACAGAAAGCAGGCACCAGTATTTTAAAGACTTCAAATTTCTGCATTTCTGATTTAGTGTTTTAGATATGATATGCAATAACAACAACTGATGATGAAAAAAGAATAGCCTAGAGTTACATCTCCGATAAGAAGCCCTGTACTCCCACTTCTCCCTGGAAAGGAAGAGGGTGATAAGAATTCTACTCAGCTACCATTTCCAAACTAATGTCAGCAACTCCATTTTTGGAACACCTCCATAACAGCTAGTATGGGATAAATGGTATGTAACTATTGACAGGAGAAGAGGTGTTTTTGTTAACATCACACTAGACAAAAAGCATATCATAGCTATATAAGAAAGGAAGATGATTCAGGTCCATCACTGTATTCCTTCATCATCTCCTTTTTAGCCCTCATCCCTCACGAAAGCTGCATCACTAGACACTTTTCAGAGCCTTCTCATGCAAAATAAAGATTTTGACATTCCCTGCTGACCATAGGAGAACCAGAAACAAGATCTGAAATTTATGACTGCTTCTTAAAATCAAAGGTTAAGTCTTAAAGCTAGCTGAAACACGATTTTATCTATACTACTATCCCACTAAGGTCCTTCTAAAAATTTAAGTCAGGACCTCTAGAATAGGAGCTGTACCCTCTATTTTACTTCTGTTAAATCATGAGAAAGTTTTTTGTAATTAGACATTCTGAAACTCTTGTCTAAAACGTTAGCATAAACTCATATAAATATATGATATTTATATACTTAGAAAATATATAAATATCTATCAGAAAATCCATCACCTGTTACCAATGAAATATTTTTTCTCCTAAGCTCTGATATGAGCATTAGTTTATTATTAATCCTTAGGTAGACTGCTTCAAAGCATGGGAACAAAGGGTGTGAACCCTGTTACGTTCCAATGGCTTTCCAAAAGCTTGCAACAGAATGCAGACAAGCAACATCTTGGACCTCTCATCTGTTTCTTATAGTTGTTACTGAAATACAAAAGCAATTAGGGCTACTTGAAGGTTTTTTCAAACTCAAATTTCAAAATGCTTATATGCAAAGCAAACAGCTTCCGTACAACATCATGTAAGATTTAGGACTGTCAACTTCAGGCTTAGCACATGTTACTGAGAACCTGATGGAGATTTTCTGTCACCAAGTTTTAGTGGACACGTTATTCCACAGTTCTTGGAAACACTACCTTTGCAGATGTTTCTAAACAACTTATGCCAAGAAGTGTTTTTCACCACAATATAAAAAAATTAATATAGAACTTTAATCCAAACTTAGATTTAATTCAAGAGATTAAGTGTCATTGTACGGCTTTTGAAAGACTATGCTTCAAGTCCCCTAAAAGATATCTTTTTAATCTGTTCAGCTAAAGAACATTAACATACGATTTATCACTCATGTTAGTGTCATTAGCTATTCAGTTTTGTGCTACAGAAAATTGAACAAGAGAAAGGTTGTATAATTCCATAGTTGAACTCAGTCAAATTGGTTGTGTTCTGTTCAGTGCTTCATTACTTATGCCAGATGAACTGAAGAAGTCATGTTTCACAGGAAGGAGGCCAGAAAAAGAATCCTTAGGAGCACTTACCAGAACATCAGTTCAAGATGGACATGTAGTACTGCCAAATTGTTTCATGTCTACAAAGTCCCTTTCTCAAACTCTTCAGCAGGTAAAGTATCATCAGCATCAAGTTTCTAACAAACCACAGGATACTCTAGTCAGTAATACTAACTTAGCATTCTCCCTGTGAACTTTGTTCCAGATAAACCAGCATCCTGGGTTTTTTCCCCCCCACCTTGTACCTTGCATAAATATTTGCACCTATATGAAGTGTATAACAGTGCTAAGAGCTTGGTGGAATTTTCCATCTACCTAGAGAAGTATAAAAGGCAGAGGAGAAATCACATTCCTAGACTGTGGTTGTTTCATGTCTACAAAGTCCCTTTCTCAAACTCTTCAGCAGGTAAAGTATCATCAGCATCAAACAAACCACAAACCACAGGATACTCTAGTCAGTAATACTAACTTAGCATGTGAACTTTGAACTTTGTGCAAGAAAAAAAAAGGGCGGAGGAGAAATCACATTCCTGGGCTGGGGTTACGGGGGGGGGGGGGGGGGAAGGGAGAGTTGATAAAGTCAACGAGACACGCTGTGATGACTTACAAGCAAGCATGAGTCAGAGATTAGCAATGCTTGATTAACAAAGTGGTATTACTTATAAAATTGAATAGTAAAAAGACAGGAAAATTAAACACCACTGACAATAAATCAAATACTGGCATGAGGAAAAAAGTAAAACCTTTTGGAAGAACATTCCAGATTTAGGGTTTGGTTTTTAAAGCATCTTTATAAATGAGGTGAGGCTACCTTTACTCTGTGATCTTTGTGATTAAAAAGAAAAAAAAGAAAACCTAGTAAGTTCTTGCTGGATAAGCACACTTTGACATTCCTACTTGTTTATCACAGCCTTCCTGTAGAAGGTTCCCTTGACAGATGGAAAAAGGATCATGGAAACTATGTTAACTCACTCAGCTGTCCATTACGCTAGCCAGTACTGTCTTAATTTTCTTCCACTCCCTTTCTGTAGCCACCCACTTTCCTGACACAAATAAACTATCACCTAAAATGAATATATAATACTATTTCTATTGGAAAGAAAACTGAGGAAAGTATTTTCATGTAGCAAGAACAGATCAGCAAGCACAAGCAGGAGAAAAATGTGATCTGGGAAGACCTTGTTTACCTGACGGAGGGGGGGGGAAGCAAACAGCAGAGTGATACCTATGCCGTTATGACCTCCCCTCTCCAACTAGTTAGAAGGGCACCCTCAATTTACTATCGTTCAGTATTTGCTAGAATTCTCAGATAGGCAACCATTCTATCAGCCAAATTAACAACAGTGAGTTTTACCTTTTCTAAGGTACTTTATGGAGAACAACTCGATCAAATACTATAAAGTAGCTATATACTACAACCCAGCTTGAATAATGCTCTCCCAATTGCTGATTAGTGCAGGAATTTCCACTTTTTTTTAGTTAACCATACCCAACTTTCACAAGTTATGTTACCTCCTTTATGTTTTAAATGCCACTCAGTGTTCATTCTGAATACCCTTAAGGCAACTTTAGCGATAGTCTACGAAACAAGTAACATTTACTATACAATGAGAGCTTTTTCGGGCTAAAAACAGCTACTAGAGAGAAACTCCAGCACCAGAAATACCGACAACTCTTAAAAATCCAACGAGTTATCTCTGACCGAATGCAATACTGCAGGTACCGAGAGGACTGCTCTCCTTTCCCACTCAGATCTCGTTGCCGTTGTACAGCTGATCTTCGCCTCCTTAAGCCACAGTAATGGCTCCCACGCGAGGTCTCGCCCGCAAACCTAGCATAGCTAGGAGCCGAAGGGACTCGCAGATCCCGGCTGGCTGGATGACGGCTTTCGCCTTCCAGCGGGCAAAGCACACACCAGCCCCCGAAGCTGCCCCTGTCGCGTTCAGGCCAGCCCAAGGAGCATCTCAGTTACCAGCAGTTACACTTGCAACCGGCGGCTGCTGCCAGCCCCAAGCGAGAGGGAGACCGGCACAGTACCAGAGGAGACGCGTTGGCCCGCGGGTTTCAGCCCGCCCCGGGCCGCGGGCGCCGTCCCCCCAACGCCGCTCCTGCGCGGCTACCGGCAGCGAGGGGCGAACTAAGAGGCGTTTCCCAGGTTTCCGCAGGCCTACGAGACATGTCCGCCCCCGGTCGCTGGGGACAGCGGGGTCCCGGCCTAGAGCCGGCTGGGACCAGGCGCTGCCCAGCCAGGAACGCAGCGGTCGCACTCGCCTCCCCGCGTCGGGCAGGGCCGGCCGCCCCGGGCACAGATCGGCGCGCAGCCGCGAGGGGACTGACGGCGGCGCGGCCCGCCGGGGCCGCCCCCCC